TGGTTGTGTCTAATATACGCACTGTTTTCTGCCGCTTTTTCCTTGAATTCAAGAGGGTTTCTATGGGCTATTCATGTATGTCTTATTAGAATGTCTTTTACATTTGGAGAATTAATGCTTGTATGATTATTGTCCGTCTGGAGAAATGGAAAATGGGTATGTGTTTGGATTTGTTTTGTTTTGTTGTTGAGTGTTGGTTTTATGGGTTTTTGTTCGTTCATTAGGTGTTGGGTGTTTTTTTTGTGATGAGCCAGGTTGTGAATTTCATGTTGTTTTTATGTGTATTTTTTTTTGATATGGTTCCTTCTTGCAATTTGCTCGACTTAGGATTATTTTTGAGGTTGTTACCCAGAATATATATATTTCGTTTCTTCTACATTTCTTATGTTCTGTTTGGTTATGGGTTAGCTGAGAAATTCAATTAGATGGTTTGATTCGCTCTGCTGGAAACATGTTTGTATGATTAATATACACTATGTAGCTGGGTGTGGAACTTAGTAGCTCTGTCCTGGTTGGTGTTAATAATTTCATCCATGGGTAACTTAGATCCATGACAACTTCCTCCATCATAAAACATATAGCTTTTGGAACTAGGAGGCTTCCTTACTCTGTAACTTTGGGGGGGGGGGGGGGGGGGGGGGGGGGTGGGCAAGAGGAAATGAAATGCTTTATAGTCAAAATAGATTGTTTCTAACTACTCTTGTTGTTACCACCATGATATCGCAGAATGATAGTGACGTTGCCTAATATTGGATGGTCCCATTAAAGTGAACTCATTTCGTCGTAGTAATGCTTTTATGTTTTTGTCTTTGTAGTTAATTTCATATCTATGAATTGCTTTTTGTCTCTAGTTATTTGGCTACAAGAAATTTGGCTATCTCATGGAAGCAATAATGGTGTTGGAGTTGGATTTAAGATAAGAAAAATGAGATGCTAAACATTAATCAGATTTTTATTTTCTTTTGAAGTGAACTGGCAAATTTTTTGTAGGAACAATGTCAATAAATAGGGAGAGAATAGATAAATCTTTGAGTTGAAGTTGATATGCCTAATATTGGTAGAGGGTCTATCTCAATGGCGTGCTCAACATAAGCAATCTGACATGTGGCAACACTTGAGAAAATTTTCAATGAGAGAACCGGATAGCAGACGGAACAATGTTCATATTGTGGAAAGATATTGGTGTATAATTCGGCGAAATGGACTTCTTTATGCGTACGCATTTATCCAATTGTAAGAAATGTCCAAGCACTGTAGATAGAAGCCAAACACTTTACTCATATTCAAGACCTAAACGCAGAAGGAGAGGAGAGTAGTACGATTAACACAATGGACATTCAATCAAGAGGTGTCTAGACAGTTGCTTGCTGAAATGATTATTATTATGGAAGAACCTTTTCGAATGGTGGAGCAGCCACCGTTTAGGAGATTTTAAATTCATTGCACACCTTTTGGTGGTCAAATATTTCTCGCATCACATTGGCCAGGGATGTAGTGTGAAACGTTTTGATTATGAGAAGGTTTTATTGAAAAGTAAGTTGTACTCTCTAAAGTCTGGATTGCTTGACTACCGATAATGGCTTCGATTCAGAATATTAGCTACTATGTCTCACTGGTCACATTGATGAGATTGGGTTACCATAAAAGAATCTCATTTTGTGCCTATTAGTAGCACAAGGGAAAGGAGATAGGCAAAGTGGTTGAGAAGTGCATTTTGATTGGGGTATGAAGATAAAGTGTCTACTATAACCGTGGATAATGCTAGTGCTAATGATTTGGCAATCGCTACTTGAGGGGCAAATTAGCACTACTCTGGATGGTGAGTTCTTCCATATGAGATGTACTGCTTCAATTAAGAATTGAGCGTGAAGGATGGTCTTAGTGAGACAAGGATTGTATTAGCCGAATTCGTATTCGGTTAAGTATGTGAGGAGTTCCCCTCTAGAGCCGAAAACGTTTCAGAGATGTGTGAACAGAGAAAGGATTGCTTATAAAGGTGTGGTGTGTCTTGATGTTGCTACTAGATGGAATTCCACCTATTTGATGTTAGATGTTGCAGTAAAATTCAAGGAAAGCTTTTCAGAGGTTGGGAAGATGAGGATCCCAACTACTTGCGGATTTTGTCACATGATACCCTTCTACGAAGGTTGGGAAAAAGCAAATGTATTTGCTAAATTCCTAAAAAAATTTATAGAGCTACAAAAACCAAGTGTCAGGGTCGAACTATGTACTTCTAACCTTACTTTCAAGAGACATTGGTATTTGCTTTGTTTAAATGATGGGAGAAAGACACAATCCAATACTTAACAACATGTCAAAGAAAATGAAGAGAAGTTTGATAAGTATTATGGAGTGTTGATAGATCGAACATAGGTATTGATTGCAGCTGTGTTAGATCCTCGGTTTAAAATAAAATATGTGGAGTGGGGTACAAAAAGATTATGACAATGATTTCAAAAAGTTGGGTTGATGTCTAGAAAGTTGAGAGATTTGTTACAGCGGTTGTATGATTCTATTGGGGGTTGTATCAGGTTTCCAGAAAGCCAAACTCTTGTTCTTCCCCAATTACCGGAATTGGCCAGCGCCTTCGTTACTGGTGTGAGTTGTGATGAGATTGCGTACGACCGCTCTTAGATGAGTATGAGAGGAGAATGGAGGTCAGGAGTTCATGATAGTGACCAAAATCAGAGTTGACATTTACCTCCAGGAGACATGTCTACCCGTGAAGTCCAACTTGACATACTAGATTGGTGGAAAGCCAATGCTGCAAATATAAGGTTCTCTCGTATTTGCAAGAGATGTGTTTGCTATTCCGGTATTACAGTGTGCTTTTGAGTCAGCTTTCATACATGGGTCGTGTACTTGATCACTTCGGAGTTCTTTAAGTACACCCCATTGTGGAAGCATTAGTTTGTGCACACAGATTGGTTGAGATAGCTATACCCCAACATACTTTTGAGGATTACTTGATGGATGCAGAAAGTTATAAACTCAGGTAACAAAATAATATCACTCTTTTATATTCAGATGTAGTTATATTATTCCCAAATTATTTTATCAATATTTTGAACTTAACTAATTAATTTTTTATGTACCTTGTTTGGTAGAATAATGACATGAGAGCGGCAATTCAAGAGCATGGAGCATGAGATATTTTTAGTTTTTTTCATATTTTGGGATTTGTTAATTGTTATGTTACTAATTTTATATGTTATGTAATTTCATCGTTTTAGTTTTGGAGTTTATAATTTTGAATTTGTGATTTTCAATGGATTATTGTAATATTTTAATTTTGAATTTGTGATTTTCAATAGATTATTTTAATTTTGGAGTTTGAAATATGAAGTTTACAATTTTAATTTTGTTAATAAGTGCCAAGTGGGGGGGTATTTGTAAGTTTTTAAGAGTTTTTTTGTCATTTAAAAAACTTTGGGGGGGGATACTTAATTTTACAGGGTACCCAGAACCGGAACCGGAACCATCGATTCCGGTTCCGGTTCCAAAATTCAAAGAACCGGAACCGTCGGTTCCGGTTCCGGTTCCAAAAGTCAAGGAACCGTCGGTTTCGGTTCCGGTTCCGGTTCCTTCCAAAAGTGTAGGGTACCCGGAACCGAACACCCCTAGTCAATATTATAACATTATAGCAAACATGGATTTGGACTTTGAATTGTTGTTAAATACTTAAATTATGTTATGATTGTTGTTGAATTTGAACGTTGAATCATGTTGGATAGTAATTAAGTTGTTATTGTCTTATTGAAAAATAGAAATCTAAAAAAAAAAAAAAAATTTGTTTTTTTAAAAATGTGCTGACGTCATCATGATGTGTGATGATATCACCGGTCCAATCAGCGGTCCAACCGGTTGGACTGGTTGAACCGTGACCCGACCATCAAAGCGGTTTGCTCTCCGGTCCGGTTTTTAAAACAATGGTTTTCTACAGTTTCCAGGAGTCTTGGGCAGTATGTGCAGGGTGGTGTGTGCTGGAATTGAAATAGTGATATGCATGGTGGTGTGTATGGAGCTGCAGCGTGATTGCTGCATTTTCTAGGTGAAGTCTTTAGTTTGGTTGTCTTTTGTTTGTGTTACTTTTCTATTGCTCTTGTTTCTTTTTGTGTAGTTCGGTCCCTTGGGCATGTCCAAGGTTCTCGATTTTAAAATGGAGTTCTCATTTTAGCTTGTAATTCGTTTATTTTTTTAATAAAAATGATCAGATTTACCAAAAAAAAAAAAAAAAACTACATCTTTAATATTTGTAATTAACTAAAAGCAGATTACACATGATTTCCACGATCACAGTTTTAAGAGGAAAGGCTGCCTTCTCTCTGGCACCACCAATTAACGATTCTAGTGTCGTTTTCGGTGTCGAAAATCATCCCTGCCACCACCAATCAACTCCTTGAATCTTCCTTTCCAAAAGTCCCAACATTCCCAATCCCGTTTGCTCATCAATCACCGGTGTTTGAAGCTTCCCCACCTTAGGGTTTTTTGAGTTTTAATTGGATTAATTGGGTTTGATTCGTACCAATTTTATGTTTGTTGGGTTGAAACACAATTAAAGAATGTTTGTTTGTTGATTTTTTGGTCAACGACACTCCCCCAACACCAGCGGCAGTTGTCGACAATGGAAAAGGTTGAGAAGAGAAGAAAGAAGAGAGGTTTTTTTTTAGTAAATCACTTTGTTTCCCACTCAAATAAGAGGATAACCTAATATTTGGATAGTAAAATGGTGTTTTAAAAGTTTGAAGGTGGAAAAATGTCAATGGGCCATTTTTTGGATGGTAACATGTCGTTAACCCTGATATGATAATTCTGATAAGATGATACATCCCTTAAAATATTAATTTTGGGTATTTTAAAATAACGTTAATATTATTCAAAATTAAACATGCGAATATACATTTTGGGATATATTTTGAGACATATGACATTACTCTAAATCTAAGCATCAGGAACCATTGAGTTTGGGAATAATGCTACTCTCTCTCGTTTATGGAAGATTTAGGATGCATTTAACCTAAGGGGTTGGTGTTTTAATTTGATAATCGTTTTCTTGCGATATGAAAATGAAAAAGCACCATGAATGGCAGTTATGTAAATCCAGTTCTACCAAATGGTCCTCTTTTAAGCAAGTACCAGAATTTTAAAAATTTTGGAGGGAAAAACCCAAGAAATGTACCTGCGAATGCTGCGATTTCAACCCATTCTCAAACCCAAACCCACGCCCATTTTCTTCTCCTCTCCAAGAACTTCGAACCACAATCCCTTTCCTCATCTTTTCTCTCTTCAAAAACACCATCTTTCATCTTCCTCCTCTTCCTCTCAATGGTTCTCTCTTCTCCGCCAAGCAATCTCCACCGCCGACTTGGCTCTTGGCAAGTCTATTCACGCGCGCATATTGAATTCTTTCCAGGACCCAGATCGTTTTTTAACCAACAATCTCATTACAATGTACGCCAAATGCGGTTCACTTTTATATGCGCGCCGCATGTTTGATATTATGCCCGCCCGAGACCTCGTCAGCTGGAATTCACTTCTGGCTGCATATGCTCAGTCCGGAGACCATGACATTGAGAACTTGAAAGAGGGTTTTCGTCTTTTTCGTGCTTTACGTGAGTCTATTGTGCTGACTAGTCGGTTGACTCTGGCTCCTGTGTTGAAATTAAGTTTGATTTCCGGTTATGTTTGGGCTTCTGAGGCGGTTCATGGGTATGCAGTGAAGATTGGCTTGGAATGGGATGTGTTTATTTCGGGGGCTCTTGTGAATATTTACTCGAAGTTTGGTAGAATTAGGGAGGCCAGGCTTTTGTTTGAGGGCATGCCAGAAAGAGATGTTGTTTTATGGAATGTAATGTTGAAAGCCTATGTAGAAATGGGTTTTGAAGAAGAAGTTTTTTGTCTCTTCTCAGATTTTCTTAAGAGTGGGCTGCGTCCCGATGATGTGAGTGTTAAGTCTGTGCTGAGTGGGATTTCTGATATTAGTTCTGATACAGGCAGGAGATACAAGGAGCAGGTTCAAGCTTATGCAGTAAAGTTGTTTCTGTATGATGATGATTCAAATGTGGTTTTGTGGAATAAGACATTGTCCGAACATCTTCAAGTTGGTAATAATTGTGGTGCTGTTGAGTGCTTTGTGAATATGATTAGATCAAATGTAGAGTATGATAGTGTTACATTTGTAGTTGCTTTAGCAGCAGTTACAGGCAGTAATAATTTTGATTTGGCGCAACAAATCCATAGTATGGTTTTGAAATCAGGTTTTAGTTCATCAGTTTCAGTTGGAAATAGTCTTGTCAACATGTATTCAAAAATGGGCTACCTCTGGTTTTCTCAAAAAGTGTTCTCTGATATGAATGAATTGGATTTAATTTCGTGGAACTCAATGATATCAAGCTATGCTCAGAGAGGCTTGGAAAAGGAATCAATTAATCTCTTTAAAGATCTATTGCATAATGGCTTGATACCAGATCATTTCACTTTGGCAAGTGTTCTGAGGGCATGTTCCTCACTGACAGAAGGCTTTTATCTCAGTGAACAAATTCATGTCCATGTGATAAAAACTGGTAATGTCACTGACACTTTTGTGTCAACTGCTCTTATTGACGTTTATTCAAGGAGTGGAAAAATGATGGAGGCAGAAGAAGTATTTGAAAGAAAAGATGAATTTGATTTGGCAACTTGGAATGCAATGATGTTTGGGTATATATTGAGTAATGATAGTCACAAAGCACTGAAACTCTTTTCTCTGATGCATGGAAGTGGGGAGAGATCAGATCAGATAACATTAGCAACTGCAGTGAAAGCTTGTGGCTGCTTGTTGGGGTTAAGACAAGGGAAGCAAATTCATGCTTATGTGACAAAGTCTGGGTTTGACTCAGATTTATGTGTTAGCAGTGGTATTCTAGATATGTCTGTCAAATGTGGAGACATGGTTGATGCCCACTTAGTGTTCAATGATATCCCTGCACCCGATGATGTCGCCTGGACAACTATGATATTTGGTTGTGTTGAAAATGGAGACGAAGAGCGTGCTCTTTCTATATACCATCAGATGAGGCTGTCTGGGGTCCTACCCGATGAATATACATTTGCTACCCTTGTCAAAGCCAGCTCTTGTCTGACAGCAATAGAACAAGGGAGACAAATTCATGCAAATGTGATCAAGTTGGATTGTGCTTTCGATATTTTTGTTGGGACTTCTCTTGTTGACATGTATGCCAAGTGTGGGAACATAGAAGACGCATATCAATCGTTTAAACAAATGAATGTGAGGAACATTGTCTTGTGGAATGCCATGTTGGTGGGTTTAGCTCAACACGGAAATGGTGAAGAAGCCCTTAAACTTTTTGAAGTCATGAAAGCTAATGTTGTTGAGCCTGATGGAGTTACCTTTATTGGTGTACTTTCTGCTTGTAGTCATTCTGGTTTAGTTTCTGAGGCTTATGAATATTTCCATTCAATGCATGACAAATATGGTATTGAGCCTGAGATTGAGCATTACTCTTGTCTGGTTGATGCCCTGGGGCGTGCAGGACGCACTCAAGAGGCAGAGGAGCTTATTGTGTCAATGCCATTTGAAGCTTCTGCATCTATGTACAGAGCCTTGCTCGGTGCTTGCAGGGTTAAGGGAGACACAGGAACTGGGAAACGGGTGGCAGAGCAGCTATTGGCCTTGGAACCAACTGATTCAGCAGCTTATGTTCTGCTGTCCAATATCTATGCTGCTGCCAACCAATGGAATGATGTTACTGCTGCTCGAAAAACTATGAAGAGGAAGAATGTTAAAAAGGATCCAGGTTTTAGTTGGATAGATGTCAAGAATAAGATTCATTTGTTTGTAGTGGATGATAGGTCCCATCCACAAGGTGATTTGATATATGATAAGGTGGAGGTTCTGATGAAAAGGATTAAAGAAGAAGGATATATCCCTGATACGGACTTTGTGCTTCTTGACGTGGAAGAAGAAGAAAAAGAGCGTGCTCTCTATTACCACAGCGAGAAATTAGCAATAGCTTTTGGACTCATAGGCACTCCTCCATCAACCACCATTCGAGTAATAAAGAATCTTCGTGTTTGTGGAGATTGCCATAACGCAATAAAATACATATCTAAAGTGTCAGAACGAGAAATTGTATTGAGAGATGCAAATCGCTTCCACCATTTCAGGGAAGGAATCTGCTCTTGTGGTGATTACTGGTAATGTCAGAATTGAATTTCTTAAAAAGTAAATAAAAGTTTTCTCAGTATATTACGGTTAAGAAACAGTGAAAGATGAAGAAAGAAAGTGATATACCCAGAATAAAGAGGCACGAAAGAAGGTAAAAGGGCAAGAGCCTCGCAAGCCTTAGTCCTTAAAGGATGCTTAAAGTGAACATCCCTGCAAAGAGGAACCTCTACTTCTCTTTCCTCTTTAACATTTACATTAACATAACTACCACCTCCTCCACTGCAACAGCAACCCATCCATTCAATGAACCTACAAAATTACCATTTCATTAATTAAAAGAGTTTGAAACCAGTCTAATCGTAAGTACCACACAAATCAAATACCTTGAAGGATCATCACCCAACTTCCATACAACACAGTAGTCCCAAGCCTTTGAAACAACAAAAGGCCTGAGCCACTCCTCTGCTGTCTCCAAATGTCGCATGTTTTAGAATAAATTTGAAATTGTTTAGGAAGAATGTGTTCCTCTGTTTCCATTAAAAAGAAAAGTAGATGAGCATTATGGTAGCAGACAAGTGTAACAAACTTAGGCAGAGTGAGGTAGAGTATCATCTTAGCAGTAACAAATCTTCGACAGCTGATATCTGCAACGCTCTGAGCTTGCAGTTTTTTGACTGATTACTTTTTGCCAGAGTCGGTTAAAAAATTGCTCCATTGATAGCTATCCGTAACTGAAGGAATATGAAGCTTGTCACACTCTCTATTGTTGTGGGTTCGATGCACGCTCCAGGATTCGTCTCTTGAATTTGCTGGTAATTAAAGGTGGATGTGTTGTGGAGTGGTTGGAAATGTTGTGTTAACAAATACGGTAAAATCTGGTATGTGCAATGATACAGAATTACTATGTGAAATGGTCTTGCACTTGGTATCTGTGTCTTTCCCAACCACTGTAATTGGTTTATTATTTAATATTTTGTTTTGTTGTTCATATCGGCTAACTTCATAGTTTATACTTTACAGAGTGGAAGGGGGCCGGCTTTTAAGAATCATCACTTCATTTACATAAAATAATTTGAACAAATCACATCCATCTTAAGTTGACGGGCTGGGTGTAACATTTGGGCTACACAAATTTGGCACATGAAAAAACGATTTGGTTCATTAAATGTTTGTATTAGTTTTATATTAATAGGAAAGTAAATTATTTTGAAGATTACTTGAAATATTTAAGGAAATTTGTTTGATTAGATTAGAATAAATTGGTAAGTATGTAATATAGATTACTGAGTTATCTTTCTATTTTAATAATATATATATATTTTTTTTAAACCCTGCATTTGTTAATTTAGCTAAACACTCTCACAATAAAAAGTTTAAAAATTAACTAAAACACTCCAATCACCTAAGAGGATAGTCGATTGTCGGCCACCACCGTCGAACGTCAGTCAGTAGTCATCGGAACAGTGCACGACCGGCTAGATTTAGCTAATCATGAGCTGATATGGCCGTTTCTCACCAGATCTACAACCATAATCTAGCCATTGACAGTCGAATTCTGATCATTATTAATGGCCAAATCAGTGCACGACTGGTCAGATCCGACTGGTCATGCGACGTTTCGGCCACGGTGGCTAGTGGCCAACGGTGGTTGCTGGCGGGTGGTGGTGGTCTTGGGTGGCCTGTAATTTATTTTAAATACAAGGACATTACTGTCAAAAAACTTAATTAATTAGGGGTAAAATTTTAATGACAGGTTCATGTAAATTAATTTCAAAATAAAGGCTTTTTTGTCAAAAAAATTTATTAATAAGGGGGCGTTTGGATCATATAATGTTTTATTATAGGGGGATGTTATATTAACGAAAAGATAGATCACCTTGAGGATTACTGAGAATATTTAGGAAATATATTTGGTTGGTTTAAATAAAATGGTAAATAATATGTTTGGTTGGGAGGATAAATGGGTAGGTATATTATATAGATTACTAAATTGTCGTCTTTTTTAAATATTAATATAATATTTTTTTAACCCCCTACATTTGAAATTTTACTAAAACACCCCAGTCATATAAGACTTTAATTTGTAGCAAAATCACCCCCACCCACCCCAAGCCATTGCCCACAACCAGCCGCCACCATTAGCAATCGACGAGATGGCGCACGAGTGGCTGTATATGGCCAATTGTGCGCTAGCAAAGTCATTTCCAGCCATGGATCACAAATCCATGGCTGTTTCACGGCCAGATCTATGGCCATTTCACAGCCAAAGATGTGGCCATTTCATGGCCACAGATCTGATCGTGAAAAGGCCAGATATTTGGCTGTGAAACAGCCAAATTTGGCCGTTTCTGGCCATGGATCATAGATCCATGGCTGGAAAAGGCCTTGCCGGTACACGACCGCCCAGATCCCATTGCTCATGCGCCATTACGTTGATTGACGTCGACGGTCGGCTATGGTGAATAACGGTCGACGATGGTTTGATTGGCTAGGGATATTTTATTAACTTTTAAATTTTTTTGTGGCTAAAGTGTTTTAGCTAATTTCTCAAATATAGGGGGGTTGGGTTAATTTTTATTTGGTAGATATTTGAGGGCAATTGTATCCAAAATAGTATTTAATTAAGGGCAAAATAGGTATAAAAATCAGATTATCCGGTAATCTTTTAATAACACCCCTTGGGGAGATTATTGGATTACCCCCTACATTACCAACAATAAACACTATTTGCAATAAAAGATACCTATAATATTTTATTGCTTACAAACTAAATACCGAAATCTTACTAAATAAACGAAGATTATCCCTGTTATCTTATATGCTTCCGATCCAAACGTACACCCTAAGGGGTAAAATTATAACAAAATTAACATTACTAAGTAATCTTACCATACCTAAGAAAATAGAAGTAATTAGATTACTACCTATATAACTAACAGTAATTATTATTGGTTTTGAAAGATTATCGAAATTTTATATTGCTTGATATCCAAATGTGATAAACTTGATATTACCTCAGTAATAAGGGATAACCCACAACCAAATAAGAACAACAGGATCTTCATAGGTATCATTGAATGACAATATTCTTATTGCCTGGTTAAGGAATTGCATGTTATGCAAGAGGATTAGAAACGAGCAGTAAGTAATTGACTAATACTTTTAAGCAATAACATTCTCTGCATCTCAACCTTACAATATATCATAAGATATAATGAATACGATGTCAGAGTATCATAATCAATAAATAATTACATAATACAAACATAAATAACAGCTTAAAAATGAGTTATACAATAACTACTTCTGATCTGAGGAGGTCAAATCTCGTACTAAAGCTAGCTCCTCATTTGGTTCCATTTATTGTTTATACACCGCCAACTTTGGGTTCAAACTTGATGTCTCCATTTCCAAACTGTTTGAAGCCTCTGGTTTGTCCATTCCCAGCAGGTTTCGAAGCTGCAATATTCTTATCGAACCCAAACTCTATGTCTCTTTCCCTTTCTCTGGGACGAAAGCCGTGGCTTTGCTGCTTCGAGATCGAGTGCTGGAAATCCATGTTCCCCGCTTGGCCTTGTCGGGGCTGAGAGTTGTGGCTTTGTTTGTGGGGTTTGTGTTTCTGATTGCGTCGGTTGCAGAGACGTCCGAGACAGCAAGCTATAGCTGATATAACAACAATAACAGCCAGGACGATGAACACCGTCCCAAACGATCCATCTGACGAGTGGGATGACGGGGAATTGGGCGGTGGTCTTGTGACAGTGTTTGGGTAAACGACGCCGCCGGCGGGCTGTTGTGGCTGAGATGACATGGACATGTTTTAGATTGGTTGATAGAGTGGAAATGGTGGAGGCGGGTTTTAGTAAGAATAGTCTGCAGCTCTTGTTCTTTGAGTGCAGAGAAAGAGAGGGTTTGGGAAAAACTCATGAAACAAGTAAGAGTTGCCTCCAAGGAGAAGTTATGTATAATGGGGTTTAAGTTTCGAGTGTGAGCAATAGGGTTATTTTTCAATTCAAAAAAGGAAGGAAGGTTCTTTAATAAAGAGATAACTAAAGATTATTCCTTGTCTTGTTTTCTGAGGAAGAAGCGGCACTTGCATTTGCTTTGTATGGAGAGAAAGTAAGATTTTGGGGCCTTTGGACACGCATTATTTCATGGCCCTCAATAAAAAGCAAAGTTTTAGTTTTAGGTACAACTACAAATTACGAGGCACTCTCATCCAATCATTTGAATGGAGGAATGGTCTGTGCAAAGAGAAATCATGCACACAATCATATAAATCTGTCGCCAGTTCAAAACATCTTGTGGATTCAAAACTAATCTATGGCTAATAATGTTCACAGGAGTTGGCAGAATATGGTTGATTAAACAATAGAAACCCTTTTCTTTCCCAGAAAATGAGAGATTTCTGTGATTCTGTGTTGGATCAGTTACATGTAATGAAGAAAAATCTTAATGGGAGGTCAGGTACTTTAGGATTATTAATTGGTCAAAGTTATATGGCTGGCAGCAATTTCAAGAAGACAAGATATGGTAATTCAACTTAGGGATCTGTGTAACGCTGCATTTTCCTATATGGACTGAAGCTTATCTGTTTAATGGGGTCATTCTCTGCTTAATTGTCGTCTTTATTCCTTTCTTTTACAAAGAAGATTCTCCTATAATGGACCGAGCTAGTTTGATGATATATCTTTTGGTGATTAGAGAAATCATATAAGAAAATTTTAAGTATGAAAATATCTTTAACAGGATGTGACATGTGTGAAACAATAATCTGAAAGTCATTAGTTTAAAACTAAAAGTTTTCATACCTAAACAGGGTTAGATTACTATGCCATTACGAGGCACCCATTAGATGCAGTATGTAACATTTTTGGTTTTTCTTTTATTCCATTCAGTAAAGATTTGGAATCAAGATTTGCCATAATCCTATCTGTATTCACTGTATTACTTGCTAGATTAATGGTTGAGAGAAATTAGAAGTTTAAGGACGTAAGTCGCGTTAGAATATTATCAGTATTGGTCCATCTAAGATCACATTATCGGTCTCTTCAAAGATATCGTCTAAAATTGGAACTACCATCGTGGAATTTATAATTAAATGCTATGGCTAAGATCTTCAAAGCTTTCAAAGTTTGGGAAGTGACCTGAAAGAAAAGAGTTGTTTACTCTCTTAAACAGAAGTTAGTATGTTCTACTTCCCAATGCATGCCATGCCATGCCAGAGCCATAGTGAAACTATTTAATTTTTATAACAGGCTACACCAAAACGAAAACCCCACCCGAATATAATTATATTAGAAAGCAAAACACAGAATGAGCTTTGGACCTAAATTAAACCAACATCAAAACACAACTTTGAACCCCTTTATACCTGATAAATACCATCCTTTCGACACAATAACCATATATATGAGTTCTATATTCACTCATCAACCCATAAAAGGCTAGCTCAATTTGAGTCCATACTCTAAAGTGTGGGGTTCACTAGTTCAATTTTCAATGCTATCTCAGCTATTACTCCTCTTTATTCTTCTTCCATTTTCTCCAACAGCTGCTGCACCGATTGGAATATGTTATGGGCGGGTGGCGAACAACCTTCCACCGCCACCTACTGCCATCAACCTTCTCCAATCCAATGGCATATCAAACATACGCATCTTCAACCCCGATTTCTCCACGTTAAAATCATTTTCAGGCACTGGAATCAGCCTCATTATCGGTGTTCCTAACGAAATCCTCCCTGAACTTGCCTCAGGGGGACCCGTCTTCTCCCTCCAGTGGCTTCAAAACAACATCTTCTCTCACATACCTTCGAACCAAATCCGTTACATCGCTGTTGGTAATGAAGTCTTTCTCAAAGATCCATATTACACTCCCTATGTAGTACCCGCAATGAATAATCTTTACCAAGCTCTGCAAACCGCAAACCTTGCAAACTCAATCAAGTTATCTTCACCACAGGCAGCTTCAGTTCTCTCAATCTCATATCCTCCATCTTCAGGAACCTTCGATCCTGATATAAAATCTTCTATTGTGCCCCTCCTTCAGTTCTTATCCGATACTAAATCACCTTTCATGGTTAATATCTACCCGTACTTCAGCTACACCAGCAGTTTACAGTACATATCGTTAGACTATGCATTGTTCAGAAGCGACGAAGCGTTTCGAGACGGCGGCTTAACGTATCGCAATCTTTTTGACGCAAGCGTCGATGCGTTTGTGTATGCAATGGAGAGAGAAGGGTTCGGGGGAGTTCCGATAGTGGTGACGGAGACGGGGTGGCCGACGAGCGGTGGTGTGGCGGCGAGTAAGGAAAATGCATTGGCGTATAATGAGAATGTGGTGAGAAGCGCTGTGGGTGGTGTTGGGACACCGAAGAGGCCTGGCGAGGGAGTTGAAGTTTACTTGTTTGATCTGTTTGATGAGAATGGAAAGAGCGGGGATGAACATGAAAAGCACTTCGGGATTTTCGGACTCGATGGATCCAAAGTTTATGATATCAAATTTAATTAATAAATCTTATTTTCCTGAAATAATAAGGATTTCCAATTATAGGGGTCTGCATGTAAAATGTGGTATAGAATATTGGAATGCATTGATTTATATGAAGAAATTAGAAAATTGACGTCATAAATTGAACATCACTCGTGTTTCAGATTATGACAATATTTGAAATTTTTTTTTTTTTTTTTTTTGTGTAACCAGAGTGTCCGGCGAGCAAACCTCTTTGCTCGCCAACGGGTTACCATTTGAAACTTTCTTAAAGAAAGAAGATATAATCTCAATCTGCCTATTAAATTGTATCTTCTGAATCTTACAGGCTTGTCTTAAGTTTTTGTCCAGTTATAATTTCGTCAAAACTTAAGATCTTTTTTTCTTCGTAATGCTTTTAAATTCAAGGGCAACTAAACTTTTCATCAACAAAAAGATTTATAGTCACAATCTTCTTCATTAATTAATAGGTTTAACTACAGTTTTGAAATATCACATGATGTTATGGTATTAGGAGTAAAATTGATATTTTAACAATTAAATTGGTTAACTGTTGATGATTCATAAAAACAAAAACAAAGACCAATTGTTAGGGGTTGTGTTGCTATATCTCGAAACCAATACGGGGTGACATGTCTTAACCCATAGATAGGGGGTGTCAAGTGAAAAATGAAAATGTGTAAGATAGGTTTGATTAAAGAAAACAACAATGCTACGGACACCGGAATTGTACACTGAATTACGTGTCACTTGACTTAGACTAGTCACGTATTCCGTTAACAAATATTTTATGAGTGAATGGCCGTTCATCAACTATGGACGGTCGTTCACTATATTTGGACGGGTGTCCATGGACGCCCGTCCAAAGCAAAATGAATGATGGACTCCCGTCCATATTATATGGACGGAGGTCCACATTTAATGGATGCTCATTCAAACTTTAAATTAAAAAAGTTTATGAACAAAAATAATGGATGGGCGTTTATAGTTTATGGACGACCGTCCCTGAAAATTGGACAGGCGTCCGCATATAATGGATGCCCGTCCATACTTTAAATAAAATACAATTGTATACAAAATATTGGGATGCCCGTTCATTAGTTATGGATGCGTAATGGACGCCCGTCCATACTGTAAATTAAAAAAAATTAAAAAAATAGTATACAAAATGCAGGGATGACCGTCCCTGCATTTGGACGGGCGTCCACAATCCATACTGTAAAAAAAAAAAAAAAAAAAAACATTATGGACGCTCGTCTATTATTCAGTGGACGGGCGTCCTTAACTTATGGACGCCCGTCCATTGTTTAATGAGTACTTTAAACAAGATTTAGGTCAAATCAATTTGGGGCAATTTTAAAATCACTTTGGGCCGCTCTTCTTCTTCCTCTTCATTCCCCATCTCCGCTCTTCTTCTTCATCTTCATTCCTCATCTGTGCTCTTCTTCTTCTTCGAAGTTCGCATCTGCCGCTCTTCTTCTTTGTCCAAGTTCCTCATCTGCCGCCATTCTTCTTCAAGTTCCTCATCTGCCATTATTATTGTAAGTGTTTTAGTCTATTTGGTTTCTATTAATCACGTCTTTTTTTATTGGTTTTGATTGATGATTGAGCTTGTTTTACAGCGTTCACTTCTTTGTCTTGGTTTCTCATCTGCCACTCCAAGTCGTCGAAGCCATCTACCATTTTTCGAGTAAGTGTTTTAGTTAATTTGGTTTGTTTCATCATCTTTTATTGGGTTTGATTGATGATTGAGGTTGAGTGGCTAAGGTATGAAGTATTGGTTGATGAATGTGATTATAGTGAAGTGTTTCTTATTTGAATCAAATTAACTGTTAATAGGTCACTCTCCTCCAAGTGATTTTGGGAGGAGGAAGGAAGATATTGGTGTCATTGTATTCATAAAAAATGTTGTGGGTGAAACAAAATGGATCTACATGCTAGTGCATGTGCACTTTTTCCGTTGCACACACACATATTTATGCACACCCGCACACAAGTGTGTGATTGCTTTGCATTGGTAAATTTTGATATGAATGGAAATTATCAATTCTTCCTCTATAGCAAATAGCAATCAGTTGAATGTGTTGAACAAAACATCACCAAATTAAAGTAGTTACTATTTTCTTGTTCATAGAGAACAATGATCCAGTTGTGTGCAAGTTGGTGAAGATTGCTTTTTTGGCTCTTTTGAAGCCAAAGATTGTTGGTATGTGTTCTATAGAAAACAATTGGCTTGGTAATAAACTAATGGAAGTATATCACCAAAAATGGCATAAAAAATATATACAATATACATAATACCCGTTGACAGTAGAATGCAAAGAACAGTGTATCAGTACCAAAACTATCCTGTGACAATCGCTCCCAAAAGGCTGGATTATTCACAATAGCTATTGACAAAGTCAAGCAGATCTTACACATGGAAGATGGTAAAACTACTATTCTTATAGCGTATGTTGACTACATCATCATGACAAACAATGATGGTGTTGAGATAGAAA